GGGACAAAACTCACACTTGTGAACTAGTCTCATGTGTTCACTCGCTTTTAGTTAGAGATACCAGAGAAGGCATTGCCAAAATAAAATGTTGAGCTCTAGCTTAAAAGTTTGGTTGTCATAGCAATTCAGGGTGAATTATGAGTAAATAACTGGACTCCCAATTTAGTTGGAAGGATCATTTCTGAATGTTTATTTTATGCTCATATATGCAGTCGATGTGGGCACCCACGTATTTTGTAGGAAAAATTTGCTACTTTCTCTGTCCTCTGCATAATTTATCTTTAATATTGGTTATTTCATTCTTAAAACAGGCAAGGATAATGCTGAAAGAAGTATATCCAAGGCTCCTGCCCAGGACACGAACGTTGATAAGTCCTCTCACTCCACTGCTGATTCTGGGCGCATTGGGTACCCTACCAGAGGTCATCAATTGACTCCTGCTATGTTGTCAGCTCCTACAGTTTTGAGAAGTGTATTCGGACATCTGAAAGTTATATCCCCAACAGCTTGCTTAGCTGTGAAGTGTACAGACAACCAGAATCGCTATACAGTTGATAAATATGCCGGAGATAATGATAATGCTGGCTCTATGCTAGTCCAGTATGACAACGTAACTGCAACTTCAATGGAGGAAAGCAATAAGGATGTATATGCCATGGAAATTGGTTCCTTTAACACAATTGACAGATATGCTGGAGATAACGATAAAGGTGACTCTATGGTAGTCCAGTATGGCAATGTAACTGCAAATTCAATGGACGAAAGCACTAAGGATGTATATGCCATGGAAATTGGTTCTTTTAACAGCAATGCCACAATCGATCCATTTTGGCCATTATGCATGTATGAGCTTCGAGGAAAGTGCAACAACAGTGAATGTCCATTGCAGCATGTTGCAGATTTCTCTGCTGGAAATAAGAATCAGCATGTTGGCTCTCATGATTCTGGTATGAACAGTATTTCTAAAACTCTGTGTTTGCAGTATTGCATTCTGTTTCTCACGCTTAAATATGGTTGGCCAGGTTGTTCCCCTGAAGTACAAATAGCAAGAACAGCAGCAAAACCATCCAACCTTGGTGGTATTTTGGAATTACCGACTTATCTGGTTGGTTTGGATATCATGAAGGCACATACAAAAAAATATGAATCCATTGTAGCATGGAAAGATGGAAAATGCTGGCAGAAAGCTTTCAGTGCTTGCTTGGCTCTTTCCAGTTTGCTCGTGAAAGATTTGCCTGCAAATGAGCTTTTTTTAAGTGGGAATGATGGTCGAATCGAGGTGCACGGGAGTTCGATTACACAGCTATCTTGCTTCCACAGTAGGAATAGCCAAGTGGTTTGTTAACTTCTATTATGTTCTACTCTTTGCTTGGGAACAAGTTTAGATTTTAGCCATCATATCTGATCTGTGCCTTACTCTTGACTTATCCGCTTTTTCTCTCATCTTATGGAAGATCAACAACCATGTAACAGTTCATGGTGGTGCTTAATTTTGTATGTCGAATTAAAGTTTTATGTGTTTGTCTGTTATCTTTTTTTCTGAACAAGAGTTCTATTTCTCTATTTTTTGCTTCGGTGTTAGAATGTTTGCCATGCAGAGCAATGTCTGTATATGTTTGACTGCATGATATGATATGCACTTTATTGGCATCTTTATCTTGCATAATTCTCTCATAATTTGCTATTATCTGTTTAATTTCAGAATCAAGCAATACCTAGTAGCATCCATGCCCTGGAAACATCCCTTCTTACTCTCTGCCAGGAGGTTAACAAAGTAGAGAATATGAAAAAGGTAAATGCTATGGCTAGCATATGTTTTCATGGTTGTATTCAGAATTTGAGTTGATTTGAAATCTTCCTTTTGCAGGCTCTTAGTATTCTGTCAAGAGCTATTGAATCTGATCCGGCATCTGAAACCTCATGGATAATTTATCTCCTTGTGTACTACAGTAACATCAAGTCCCTTGAGAAGGATGACATGTTCGCCTCTGCGGTATGTGAATGTAGTAAGGGGTTTGCCTTTCTTATCTTATGATGTTACCACGTGGCTGCTTCAATTGGCGTGTGTGCTTCGTTTATCAACTAATACACAGCTAAAATAGAATTTTATTAAATAATCAACCGGCAAAGTTCTCTGTGTGCAGAGTTGTCATGGAGTAAAAGCTGGTCGATTAGTTATGAACGTTAAGATATAAATAGGTTCTTTCTATTCATTTTGCGAAACTGAAGAATAAGGTAATTAAATATGATTGACTGGGCATAGCCTCTATGACAGCATGAAACTGAAACCTAACAGTTCTGCTAGGCCTGAACCAGTACTTTTGTCTAGTTGGGACTTTAAATTCCTCGTCTTGGAGAGATCTGCCCCAGTATTTTTAAGTTGAACCTCCTTTGATTTGCATCTCTGGAATCATGCTCAACTAGTCTAGTTCTGACTCGTGCTGCCTATTTATTTCCCCTAGAGATGATGTTTGGAATACATTTCCTTTGGATCAAGTAGCTTGTTGGAGTTCTCCTATCTACATGTGCCTGTCCTCTTGTTATACCTGCTTTCCCCTCAACTTGTCTCTCGTCCAGTGACCTAACTACTATGAAATGCAAACTTTTTGTTGGAAACCATCTCCATTGTTCTTCAGGTTGAATTCAATCCTGCATCCTACGGACTTCGGCTCATGTACATCAACAGCCGTGTACATCTCAATGAGCGGTTAGCTGCATATATTGAAGCCATCAGAGCGCTTTGCCCGAAAGTCTTTGCTTCTGAGAATGGTGAAGAAATGCACAGCTCTTGCATCTTGGACCTGTTCCTGCAGATGCTGGATTGTTTGTGCATGTCAGGGAATGTCAATAGAGCAGTCCAAACAATTTATGGACTCTTCGGTTTGGCAGCCTATTCAGATGAGCCTAATTCTCTGTTGCTCTCTGATATCCTCACATGCTTAACAATTTCTGACAAATATGTGTTCTGGATTTGTTGTGTGTACTTAGTTATTTACAGGAAGTTGCCAATCACTGTTCTACAGCAGTTTGAGTGTCCGAAAGATCTCCCTGCAATTCAGTGGTCACCTGTTGATTTAGGGGATGATGAGAAGGATAGAGCCGTTGAGCTGGTAGAAAGGGCCACGGACTCTTTGAAATTGTTGAGCTACAGTGAATCACCTGGAAGTGAAGCCAGTCAGAGGGTTGCTCGGAATTTTGCTCTCAGTCACATTGGGTGTCTGATGGCCCTTGGTAGGTTAGAATTTTGTTGGAGTTTGTTGGAGACATATTTGGATATGCACCCAGAGTTCCTAGAGCTGTTACTCGTGTCAGCAAGAAGCCAAGCGACAGATTTTGAGTGTTCAACCCTTGACGGATTTGAGAATGCCCTTACTAACTGGCCAAAAGAAGCCCCTGGAATCGTTGGGTTGTGGAATCAATATATTCAGGTTGCACTCGAGAGACGAGGTCCTGATCTTGCTAAACAGCTCCTTGTCCGTTGGTTCAACTCCATATCCGAAGTTACATCTACAGACAGTAATCATTCTGTTGAATCTTTGGCATCGGTTTCAGTATCAAGCTCAGAGTTTTCGGTGCCCTATTCGAATAGGATGGACATAATGTTTGGATACCTTAACCTCTCTCTTGCAAAATTGCTGCAGAACGATCACATTGAGGCACGTGCTGCCATCGACAGGGCTTTCAAGAGTGCAGTCCCTGCCTATTTCAATCACTGTCTGGTAGAACATGCTGCATTCTTGCTGAACCACAGGCAGCATCGGCAAACGAAGGAAGATACTTCTCCTATCAGTGAGCGGCTGAGGATTTTGAGAGGTTACTTGGACGATGCGCGGGATTTGTTTATACCCAAACCATTGTCCAGGGAATTCATCAAGACTGTTGAAAAGCCGCGAGTTCAGCAGCTCATTAGCAACATATTGAGTCCAGTCTCGTCTGAGTTCTTGTTGGTGAATTTGGTTCTGGAGGTATGGCATGGTCCATCTCTTCTACCACAGTGGGACTCAATAATCAACGTAAAGGAATTGGTCGATCTCGTTGAAGCGATCTTGGAGATGGTGCCTTCAAATTACCCTCTAGCGCTCTCTGTCTGTAGGATGTTGAAAGAAGGATCCCTGGACGGGACATCTTCTCGGAGTTTGCTGTTCTGGTCGAGCTCTACATTGATTCAGTCCATCTTCCAGGCTATCCCGGTGGCACCTGAATGCGTTTGGGTTGAAGCTGCGCAAGTCTTGGCAGAAACCGAAGGGGCTGATTTACTCTCTGAGCGGTTTTACAAGAGAGCTCTTTCCGTGTATCCATTTTCCAAGAAGCTTTGGTGTCGTTATAAGGAGGTAGCCAAGGGTAGAACTGGGCGAGGTAGCACCTCTGGTGCTGTGGAGGAAGAAGCAAGGAAGAGGGGTATTGAAGTGGAATGAAGCTGTTGGTTTGGGTAGAGAAGGCTGTGGTTTTCGTTTTAGCCAAGGTAGAAGTTTATTGCTCTCAAACCTGTACAGGCTTAATACTTACAGAGAATGCACTCAAAAGGGTTTGTAAGTTCGTTTGCTATACAAGTGAGTTTACGATATACGGATACGGGTGGGAGACAGGAGGAGATAAAGAGTTATGGAGCTTAAAGGATAGGGAATTGAAGTGCTTAGGTACCATGATGATAAGTTGAAACTGCAGATTGCTGTTTTTGCATTCCTCTCTTTCTGTTTCTGTTTTGTTGTAGTTAGTCGTTAATTAGTTTTGCTTAGATGCTAGTTAGTCCTTAACGAGTAGGTCAGTGTACTGGTTTAGTTTACTTGTGTCTTTCTGTATTGTTTATTTTCCTGCCTCATCCAGTTTTGGTGGAAATACAAGAATCTGATTTTGCTTAGTTGAGAATTTGGTGGGGAGAAGCTTCTTGAATCAATCACTACTATGCTGCAGATCCGTTTCAACGAATATATGTATCGTAATGTTTGAGCTGCACGAAAGCAAATTCTCAAAACGGTTCTCGGAGGGGAACCTCTATACGTATGCTTTCATACTATCTTTTCTTGGGGCTCAAGCAAATAGTTCGCCTCAAAGTAGAGGAGAATGATGCAAAGCATTAGGTATTAAGTAGAACTAGTTAGAAAATTTTGTACGTAAAAAGCAGATTTAGGCTCTAAGAAGGATCAGCCAACAATATTAATATAATCGATTTTGATTCCATTTGCTGCAATTAGAGTTTGGAGAATCTTTGAAGGGATTCTTTGTACTCCCATGTGCATGCTACTGGTAGTGTTGTACAATGGAGCAAATAGTCTCGACAAAATTCGACAATTGACCTAGTTATTCAGGTGTAGCTAACAGCAAAAGGAGTGTCTTAAAATCGAAGTCTACCATCTCCCTTAACCAATGATGTTCTTCCGATAGCGACAGACTGGCTATTTTGAAAGGGCATTCATCTTTTCTCTCAGATAGTAAAGCTTGGCTCTTCTTACTTTCTTCTTGTCCAAAATCTTAACCTCCTTTATGTTAGGCGAGTATCTGCAATCCACCCAAGACAATTTCCCCATCAGTATACAGTAACTAACATGAAAATTCTGAAGGAAACAATGCTGACAGTAATAAAGATAGGTTAACAAGAAATGCACTAGATCAACAACTTTTGATAGACTGATACTTGAAGAGATGATTCACTCCGCATTCCATTCCTCTTAAAACCGCTACTACTCAAATTTACCATTGAGAAAGAGACCAAGCTTAACATAGCTCCTTTTCAGTTTATTTCGGTGGGGACCAAGCTTAACATACTTCTAAGACACAAACATGCTGTCATTTGGTTCGAGTGGGAGTTGTGTTAGGTTGACTAAACCCCGGGAAACAACTAAAGATATTACCTACATCAGACATAATATAATGGAAAAATGGTCAATTTGGAAGGAATTGAGTAACTGCTTAGGAGCAGGACAAGGAGAAGTGCAAGTTGATATAAAAACAACCCAAGGATACTTACAACATGAAGAGAGACTCAACTCCAACTCCTGCTACCTGCCTTCTGATCCTAAATGTGGTGTTTATACCAGCATTGCGTCTTGCTATAACAATGCCCTTAACGGTTGAAAGACGCCTCTTATTTTCAGGCACTTCCTGCTCATTATACATGGACCAGGATTCCAACAGTCAAAACAGTTAAGTTGCATTATGCCCAACTCAAATGGGGAAAAAAGGATAGGAATTTGCACAAAATCAGTACCACTTTGAGTTGCACAATGTAACCAGGACGTATATCGGGTACTTCTCTCTGTGTTCTCACTTCCTCTACAGCCTCCCTATTGAGAATCTGCCAGAAAATAATAATGCCATTAATGTCCTGGTGAAAATACATTGCATCAATGTGAAACTGGAAAAGGAGTTTCCACTGGAACTCAACCCCCATTAACAAGTATTTACCTGCATTATGTTCCTTGCTGTTTTATCCATCCTCTTGAATTTGATTCGCGGTGGTACATCATCAAACGGTATTGAAGAATCTTGCGAAGTCGGTGCATCAGAGGAACCCGCAGTTGAAATGCCCCTGCTTGGGAAAGAAGTCCCAAGAACAGACCAAGGCGATAAATTTAGACTAGAGCTTATCCCACTGCCACCAAACTTGGCGAGGCTCCCACTCTTCAACTCTGATGTCTGCAGGAGAGCATAGCCCAAGTCAAGAACGCATAGAAAATTCTTCAGGACATCTAAATTCTAAACTGGGTGATCACTTCCATTGAACTTCTAATGCCATTAACCAACATAAAGCATGTAAATTCGGTATCAAGGAAACTGGATATTTCTTTCCACGACATTGAACTCGTTCTTATAGAAAAGCATGAATCAATAGGAATGATCATTCTGTAAAGACGTAATCACCGAAGCAGGTTTCCGCCCTTTTCCTCTGTAAAAAGAGGGGAACACCGAAGGGGGCCAAAGCAAAAAGAGGAGGTAGTATAGTAAGAGACCATACCGATGGGCGAGGAGAGCCAGAAGGGAAATGGTGAAACGCGCGGAGAAAGTGATTCTTCGAACAGCGAGGGCAATTCGAAGCCGAAGAACAGAACCGGTGATTTTCATTGCCACAGTTGGCGAATGAAGCGCCTACTCTTCCGCTCGACTGCAACCGCGCAGTTACGGAGCTGCTGCCGAGGGTTTGCCTTCGAACCAATGCGCCGATGAGAGATCGCATTTCTTCTGCTGGGAATCGGCAAACGCGAAGGTTAGATTGGAATTAAGAGACGGGTAAGTCTTCTTTGCAGAGGAAAGGTTTGGATTTGAGTAGGGGAGGCGGATGCTAGATCAGATAGCAGGGATGACGGAGGACCCTCGCCGTCTGTTCGACGGAGACGGTCGACGAGAAGGGGGAAAGGGTGAGGAACTGAGGAGGAAGGCTGAGAGATACCGGAGATTCGGGGTTTAGGGTTTCATTTACTTCAATGAAATAAATGATGACGCGACGTCGTTTCAGTCACGTGGGCAGGCAGTGCGTGGTCAACTCGACCTGCCCGGTTTGAGGGTCGACCGGACAACTTTTGAAGCAACCATAAACTTTAATATGTTTGACAACAAGGGGTGCAAATCCTACGGGGTGCAAGTTGAGGCAAAAATTGCAGAAGGGTGCAAATTGGTGGAGGGTGTAAGTGGAGGGATAAATTGTTGTTTGAAGGGTTGACTCACACAAAACACCATAATAGAAATCCCCTCTAGAGCCCAAGTTTTTAAACTCTAGAGGGGAGCAACATAGAGCAAGTAAGTTTTAATTATCAACCCGGGCCGATCCATGTACCCATACTTCAATCGCTTAGGTTGTTATCTAGCAAGCAACTTTTGGGTTTAGAACTAATGGAACTATAAACTAAACAAGCAAAGAAAAGTAAATAAAGGAAAATTCTAACTAAGGGAGCTTCACCCAGGAGTTGCTTCCCCCTAACTAGCTAACATGACTCGTTGGATTGAATGGAGTCGTGTGGTGTAGGTGGTTGTGAACCGCAAGGGTGAGCAACTAGTGATCGATTTGTCACGGAATCAATTCACTAACGATCGATTTATCACGGGACCGATCCACTCACATCGTCTAGGGGAACCGATAGGAGGAGCAACTAGTGATCCATTTGTCACGGAATGGATTCACCAGAGTTCAATTTGTCACGGAATCGATCCTCTCACTCAATCTCTAGGGGTTGCCTAGGGCTCTCCCTCAAATCAGAGTTTGAGCGGTTTAATCACAACCAACCAAGATGCAAACTTGAGTCAAGGGGGATGCTCATTTCTAACCTAGATAGTAGGCGCAAAGTGCCCAGGAAAACAAAACTTGTCAATCCTACCTAAAAAGGTGTGGTTTTCCTCTAATCTAAGTTAGGCAAGCACACAAGATTTGGAAAGCACAACTAAGCACAATCACCATGAAGACACCTCTAATACTAAAATTGATGCAAACTAAGCACAATCACCATGAAGACACCTCTAATACTAAAATTGATGCAAACCCATACGAAATCATTCAATCTAAACAAGTAATTACAAAGTATTAGTTAGGGATCTACAACACCCAAGAGAAAAGAGTGAGTTTCTAGAGAGAGAGAGAGAGGGGATAGATTACAAAGAAACCTCTAAATCTTATTCTAGGCTTGATTCCTTGCTCCCAAACTTGAACAATGCCTTCAATTAAGCTCCAAGATCCTTCTCTCACTCTCTAGAACTCCCCTATGGTGTTTTGGGTCGAAACCCTAGAGAAAGAAACCAATTCTTCTCTAAAAACCAGCCCCCTTCTCTCTCCCACTGATGTCTTCATATTTGCCCGAAAGTGACCAGTTCACGGCCGTGAACAACTAAACGCGTCCGTGAACTCAATGTCGTCTCCAAAACGCACCGCTTCGCTTTTGTTGTTCACGGTCATTGGCCACAGTTCACGGTTTTAGCGATCGTGAACTCCCTTGGCGTTAGTAATCTCTGAAACCTCGTTGGACTGCTCGATGTTCACGGTTTGTGGCTCCAATTCACGATCTTAAGAGACCGTGAACTCCCTTGTTTGACTGTGAACTGCGGCGCTTCCTAGACGCCTGCACTTCACTGTCACGGGGGCAATTGTCACGGTCTTGGGGCTTTTCTTTGGTTTTTGAGCTTTTTGACCTCCAATTATCCCAAAATTTGACCTCGACCCTTCCACACGTGCTAGGACCTGAAACGTATCAAAACAAGCACGACCTAGCGTGAAATATGTCGAGGAACGATGAAATACTAAGCTAAACGAATAAGAAATGAGGGGTAAAATGTGTGCCATTGGGCCCGAATCAAGGGTTTTTAGTTTCGTAACAGAAAAGGCATCAACGATGCTGCTCATCCAAGTTTGAACGAAGCCAAGGTCAGCAATTCAAATTCCACGAACTATAAGAGCAATGAAAAGAGTTGGGAAGATGATCCAGATTGTTAAAGGCTTAGAGTTAGAGTAATGGACGATAAAGAAAATTGAACTCATGATAGAAACCTAATTTTCGGATTCTATCATAATTATCATAATTACTATTATTAGGATTTATTTAGATATGGTTAGTAGTCATTGAGTCACATTAGGAAAGTCTATTAGGTTTTTCTGGTCTTTAGCTATAAATATGTATCTTGGGTCTTTGCCTCTTTGGTACAATTAAGCAGAAGTTAAGCAAAGAATAATATTCTCAAACCTAAACTCTCTCTATCTCCTAATTTCTCTTCTCCCCTAATCCAAGGTTTCGACCGATTCTTATTATTTTCTTCTTCTTTCCCAATTCTATCCCCAAATCCCTAAATTCCCAGTCACCCATCACAATCGATAGAACCCTAGAAATAGGTTTCCATCATTTGGTATCAGAGCCCCGTTCGATAGTGAGTTCGTCACAACTCTCAATCAAGGATGGACGTATATGAAGAATTCATACCTAGGGTTACTAAATCGCTAACCTCAGCATTCATTCAAGTGTTCGTCAGCTTGCATGGGTTTAAGAGAGCACATGTGGGGTCTTCCTCGGGCATCATAATAATCTATGGAAAAAGTCCGTTGGAGGACGAGAATCAGCGGATGTATTTTGAGACAAAGATCACGATTAGGTCGGATTTCGATGCCGAAGAATTTGACGTTTGGTTGAGATACGGCTTGCTCACCTTTGAAATTCCTGATAACATCGAATTTGCACATGTTTGCACCCTCGTTTCTTGATCATTTTGGCTTGAGTTTCTGCTTTCTTGGACTATTTTATGCTAGGTTGTGTTCCTTTGTCACATTTCAGGTCCTAGCATGTGAATTGAAGCATAGACGCAAGTTTCAAGTCAATCGGAGATCATTTGGCAATTCGGGAGAAGAAACATGAGCATGACCTGATGAATAATGGACTTATACCTCATATTATGGACAAATAATCATGGAATTTTGTCTTGAAAATAAAGAGGACGAGACTACGAGCGTCTGGGATCAAACGGCGACTGATTCGGAGTCCGGACGAGGGAGAAATGAAGCATTGAACAGAGGCTGGGTAAGCCACACGGGCATCCTGGAACTCCACACGGCCGTGCGGGTCGTGGCCGTGTGGAAATCACCGAGCCTTCACACGGGCAGCTGGGAAAGCCACACGGCCGTGTGGCCTGGCCGCGTGGTCGGGAATTTCTGTTTAAAACCCGATTTTCAGCAAAAGGAAAGGGGAGAGCGGGGTTTTTGGTTCCCAAGCACCCAAGGGACGGACCCTAGAGAGAGAGAGCGACTTGGGAACATTCTTGGAGATATTTTGGAGGATTTCTTCGCCATTGGAGCTCGGGAATCAAGCTTGGAGATGGAGATTGAAGATCTAGATCAGATTTCTGCAGTCTCTCTCTTCTCTATGGAGTAACTTCCCTTCACTTAGGTTTTGAGGAACCCTAGTTCCATGAGTTAGGATCTTTCTTGTATGAAGTTTTGGATGCTATATTGTTTGATTATAATCGATTGAGGCATGATTTATTGAGTCAATTGAATCTTGATCAAATTCTCTTGATTTCTGCTTTAACCTATGATTGATAGAATCTTATTAGGTTAAGAGAGCTTCCTTGATTGATAGTGGTGAATTGGTTATACGAGAGTTAGTCAATCTACTGTTTTGTACTGGAATCCAATTTCGGTAGTGGAGTTCTCTGTTCATAGCCTCAGCTTTCTATCTCGGTGAAGGTTAGTCGCCTGCCGGGTAGTTGGACTGAGAGAGCTTGGTCAGCTTAAGAGATTCCAAACTACTGTTGGATCTTCCGCAGTTTAATCAACAGTAGATCAACCAAAGGTAATTGCAACTTGGACCTAATTGATGAGCTAGGGGGAATCATACCTAAGTGAGTTCCCAACTTGTAATTAGTAGAGTAGTCAGTAGAGTAGTTTATAAATCAATCCTTAATCTAGTTTGCTAGATAATGAACTGAAGCTGAGTAATAGTAACTCTAGAGACCCGTGGATTCGAGATTTATTACTTGTGCCACTATACTTCAGTCCCTTTCATTGGTTACACTTGGCCATTGTTAGGTGTTGTGTTTTAGCGTGTCAATTCCCAAGAGCAAATCTTCATCGCCAACAGCAGCGGGAAGCACACAGCTCACTAAACCCGCTGCCATAATCCTGCCGCTGACCGACGCAGCGATGGAAGAAGATTGTTGGCTGAGGGAAAATAAGAGGCAACTGCCGCAAAGGGAAAGGGTTCGCCGCAGTTGGAAGGAGTGGAGGGGCAGACAGCGAGCGAGCCGCCGCAGCAGCAAGAAAAGACGACACGAGATCCTGGCGTGGCGGAGGTGCAGCGATCAAGTGCGGCTGCATCACCGGAGGACGACAAGCAAGAGCCGACGACCGAGGAGGAAGAAGCTGCGACTGTTGAAGCGGCAGAGGAGGCGATGACAGCGACGTCGTTGGCCCGAGCAGCAGTGCCAGTCGTGAACGGAGAAGTGGCATCGCGATCGTCCGCATCTTCACCCGCCGCGATGACGGTGACGATGACAAAACGGGAGTCGGGCATTGTGGCTCCGGAATTGCCCTTGGAGATGGAAACAAAGATAGCGTCGCCGGATAAAGACGCGAAGGATTCGTCGGCGAACGAAGAGGGCGAGGACGAATTTCTCTCTCTCTTGAGTGAGGGCGAGTTACAGTCGTCATTGAAGAAGAAGCCGCCAGAAGACGAGCCATCATCGGAGAACGAGATCGATTCGGGTTTAGCTTTCCGCGGCCTGGTGTTCTCCTTGCCGCCGGTTGAGGAATCGAAGAAGGTGGGAGGCATGCTCGGGGAGAAGAACTCGAAGACTAGGCCGCCATCGAGCTGGCACTCGTGTCGTCTGGTGAGCCGCTTGTCGTCGGGAATGAAGTCGGAGATGGTTCTGCCGACAAAGGATGGGGAGGAAGTCGGCGCGACAAGGAATAAGAAGATGGAGGAAGG